GTTTTAAATAAAAACCATGTTTCACAGAAATCTATCCTCAAATATTTACAAGAAAATGTCAAAATATTGGGTTTAAAAGGCTTATAAAAGATGGCTGCCCGCTGAGTATGTTTTGGAGTTGATTTCTAGTCAATTTAACAACCGAATATGAGACCTAATCATTACTTTCGACCTTAGAGAGTTAAAATGGCACCTAAAGGTCAACTCAGTAGGTTTTTTTAAATTCATTTTCCGAGCAAAAATCGCCCACATTTTTAGTTTGGTTTGTGATTTATGAATTTAATATTTTTTTTAAATAAATGGATCAATTTGTCTTGTTTTAGATGTGTTTTTGAATATTTTGTTGGAGAAAGAGTTTAACTTTTAATAAAACGAAAGTTCAACCATCATACACGCTAGCCCCCCCCCCCCCCCCCCACTCCACCCCGACCACCCAGCAAACCTTCAGTTAGACAGAATGGTTTCGAATTCTGAAACCCAACTCTAGACCTTCGTCCAATATTAAACAGCGCCGGCTTCTGGCCCCACCTCGTTCCAACGATCTCCATCCCACCCCTACCCACACTACACCAATATTACACAGCGTCCCTTCTGCTCCCTGCCCCTTCCTCTCCCCACCCCTACCCACACTACACCAATATTACACAGCGTCCCTTCTGCCCCCGCCCCTTCCTCTCCCCACCCCTACACACACTACACCAATATTGCACAGCTCCCCTTCTGCCCCCCGCCCCTTTCCTACGACCCCCCCCCCCCCAGCCCTACCCCCATTACACCAATAAAAATGGACGCCTTCATCAATTGGACACATGAAATAATAGTACACAAACTTTTAATGATAATGTTGCTTTAATAGCGAGACTTCACCTTCTTATCCAAAAATAAATTGTGCCTCAAAACTTCCGAAACAAGTGCCTTTGATTGTAAATTCCTATTCCACTTATACAAATAAAAATTTGGCTAAAATCTTGAAATACATGTATCTCAACACGAACTATGATTTTATATATTAAGTAATGGAGTAATATTGTACATCTGTGGCTCTTTCATCTCTATATTATTTTATCTGTCTGTCTGGTTCTAGTCTCATTATCAATACAACTAACCTTGTCTTTGATGTGAGGAGTTGAGATCGTTCACTTTATAATGGTCTGCCACTTAAACTATAAGTGTTCTTATATAACCAATAGAAACCACTAAAACATGCTAAATAGTTTCAATTATTGGTTATACACGTTTACACCTTTATAGACTAAATCATCCAAGTCAATCAGCCATTTATAGCAGTGAGTGTTATACACGAGACAGGGTGTGCAAAGTCTTTATAGATCCTTTGATACTATCAAGTGGTGTTACGTACGGACCCGTTGACAAGTCGTTGACAGGTACCGTGTGCCATTTGGCGTGCGCGTAAAAGATCCCTTTGCAGTTAAAATTCGATATAAGAGTAGGCAAAATTTCCTCATAGCACACTGTATGGCGTATATAGCCGTCTTTATTAGCCCGGTAGGAGCAGAACAGTAGGACGTTAAACCCCATTTCATTTCATTTCTTTACTTTTGACCATATACCGTTTATGTCTGTCTAACTGGTGAACAATATTGTATATAGTTTACAAGAGAGAGAGAGATGGGGTTTAACGTCCACTCGACACATACTTAGGTCATTTCGGGACTAACATATGGTTCAATTTTATTTCAATAATTCGCTTGCCTTTAGCAGTGGGAGGAAACCGGGGGACCCGGAGAAAACCCACGAGGTTGGACAGGCGACCCTACTCCTTGTCACGTACAACCGAGTTTACAAGAGATTCCCTTGTCCTTCAAATTAACAAGTTGACTGATTGAAGCTGATATCCAATCTGTTATTCATATTAACTTTCACAAAATATTTTAGTTGCGTCTAGAAAGTTATAAAAATTGAATCGTTATCTATTTATGTCTATAAGACAGACGGGGTATCATCTTTAACCAGGATAAATTTTAAATTTTTTAAGCTTTCAGCCCCAACTTGAAATATTAATTTTTCAGAAAAAAGATAATTTTATTTAAACATGCATTATGCAAGAGCAAAATCTGCTTATTACAAGTCTTTCTTTAGGCCTGAAATGTTATCTAAATTATCAATTAGACATTAATTAACTTATCCAGACCATAATAAACTCTCGATGTCAAGGCTAGCCTTCGATGTTGGCTGGATTAGATTCCTATATGCCGCTTAACGGTCATTGATAATTAAATCAAAACAGTGGATAATCGAGACTATGCTGTTTATATTATTGATTTTAGTAATGATGACCGAGACTATGCGAAAATTTCACCCGCTTCGTTCTCGGCTCATAGTGGATCAATTTGACTGAAATTTTCAGCAAATTACCTTTACACTATCTAGTTTTTAACTATTATAGCGAGAACTGCCATCTCTTTATCTTATCTCCCATAATGTTTCTTTAATAGACTATTATTGTACCGAGATGAAGACCATGCCGTTGTGTCTTGTTAACGCTGACTATTGACCCTCGTTCCCCCGGGGGATCGTTTAGTTCCACTTGAATTCACCGCTTACCCCAGGGAGATAACTCTACGCTAAATGTTTGGTGTACGTATTCCTAGGAGAGCGTGGATTGTGTCAGACTATATCCATTCTCCGTAGAGTTGTTGATAGATTGTTTATCAGATTGTAATTTGAGACTGTAGATGATAGAAATGATTGTCAATGACGGATTGATGTGGTGTGCGAGGCGGGAAACACTGAGTACCACTTCCCGGTATGGAAGTTACTTCACAAAACCCTAGCAAATACTGGGTGGGGGATTATAGGAGAAGTGAGGGGGGGGGGGGCGCTGTGTAATATTGGACGAAGGTCTAGAGTTGGGTTTTCAGAATTCGAAACCACTCTGCCTATCTGATGGGTTGGGTGGCCGAGGAGCTCAGCGTGTACGGTTTGGATCATATAAGATCCGGGCCCTTATTCACGAAAACTTTAACTAAGTTACAACCAAAATTTTAAGAAATACTGCAACTTCATTGGATATATGCAAATTGATTTTACTGGTCAGCCAATCGAATTCAAGTTTTTCTTAGAATTTCGATTGCATCTTAGTTTAAGTTTTCGTGAATAAGGGCCCTGGTCATTAAGCCAAGTGGCGTGGTATCTCTCTCTCTCTCTCTCTCTCCCTCTCTCTCTCTCTCTCTCCCTCTCTCTCTCTTGGTCAGTATACATGAAGCTTTATTTTCCCGTTTTCTGTTTAATAAATGATATATCTACTCTTGGAAAGAGTATCTAATTATTCTATGCACTTGTTTTCCGACGTGGTTTCCCCTTGTCAGTGATGCAGGACGGTGAGACGAAAAACCGAGGTCCCGTGTATACATTGGCGTGCACGTAAAAGATCTCTTGACAGTTGTCACGGTATGGTGTATGCCCGTCTTCATTAGGCCAGTCGGAGCAGAACAGTGGACGTTAAACCCCATTTTATTTCATTTCATTTCATTTCTATGCACTTGTATCAATTGTTTATTAAAGAGAGAGAGAGAGAGAGAGAGAGAGAGAGAGAGAGAGAGAAATGGTGTTTAACGTCCACTCGACACAAACTAGGTCATTTCGGGACTAACATACGGTTTAATTTTATTTCAATAATCGCTTGCGCGTAGGTGTCTTTAGTAGTGGGAGGAAACCGGAGGACCCGGAGAAAACCCACGAGGATGGACAGGCGACCCTACTCCTTGTCACGTACAACCGGGGATTCGAAACCACGCCAGTCGACTCAATGACAGACTTTATGATACAGCTCAGGCACGCTAACCATTCAGCCATCCAACACCCCTGTTTATTAAAGAGTCTGTGTTATAATGTGCAGTTTCCTGATTTGGTTATAATACTAAAATATTTTAAAAGATTCTTCACTTTTATTTTGTCCTCAACCAATGGAATCGTTGTGTATACTTTAAACATTTTAGATTGTAGTTTTTGTTGCAAAGCGTATCGGATATTGTCTAAAAAAAATCGGCCATTTTATATGTCCAAAAACGAATTGCTGTAATTATGTTTAAGAGATTGGTGATTCAAGGTAATTTTAATTAGTGACGTAATTAAATCAATGGCTTAATAATTACATTTCCCGCCTTTTTGTATTTACACTCACACCTGTGGTACTTGAAATACTTGATAATTTTGATTAATTTTCTGCGTTAATTACAGCAGTATAATTAAACTGGATAATCGGATTTACACGACGTCAGACTTTACGTAGGAGTGACGTATCATTATAAGCCCGGAACTGTACTGCCTCCCGGATCCATACACGTGATTTTATATATACACTGCTGTTTATTGTTTGCAGTGCCTGTGTAATTGGGGGTGGGGGGGGGCGAGTATGTCATTGAGCCAAATGGCGTGATTGTGATTTCCCGCTTGTACGTGACAAGGGCCGCTTGTCTAACCTCGTGGGATTTCTCTGGGTTCTCGGGTTGCCTCCCACTGCTAAAGCATATTATTGAAATAAAATTGACCCCATCTCTCTCTCTCTCTCTCTCTCTCTCTCTCTCTCTCCTCTGCAGCTTTTGACTATGACGTCAGACATTTGAATAACCAATCAGCGTTGATGTGTCTAATGGGTTACCCACAGTTTCTTGTACCTCACGCCAAATACTCGTCGTAACTGACCGTTTCATTGGTTAATCTCTCACATCATCCAGATCCCAGTGTAGTAAAAACAAGCAAAACCAAATTTTGAACTATATGAAACGAAACGAAATAGGATCTGTGTTTTAATCAGATTGACTTCCATAAACGTTTCCACAATAAACTTTCAGAAAACATCCCTCTGAATGAAAGTGCCTCCTGGAATAGCGTTCCCGGAAACATCGCCCAGAAAACAATTGGGCGTGGCCATAGTTATGTATCTGACGTCCTGTTGTATTTTATTTGTAGATATGGATGATTCGTCTGATTCGAAGAGTTTATTAAATGGTGACGGTGATAGTTTAAAACTAGACAACATGTCGGGTGACCGGGATGATTTAAAATGTGAGTCAAGTGACACAGAAAAGGGTGGTGACGATAAAAGTTTATCAGAGGATGACTTGGACGCTAAGAGAAAAAAGCGCCGAAATCGAACAACATTTACAAGTTTCCAATTAGAAGAAATGGAGAGAGTATTTCAGAAAACCCATTATCCCGATGTCTATGCACGTGAACAGCTCGCGCTAAGGTGTAATTTAACAGAGGCTAGAGTACAGGTCAGTAACAATCCATAATATTTTTCTTTTCATTTGGCCACCAATTACGATTTTATACATACTGCACACAGATATCCATCTACTCCATACTTAGAGAATATATCTCTGTCCTAAATGACCGCCATATCCAAAACTTAGTGTACTGTTTTGTGCTGCGTCCCTTCTCCAGTTCACATCTGTTGTACACAAAACAACTAATTAAACCCTTTAAATTAAACAACTAATTAAACCCTTTAAATTAAACAACTAATTAAACCCTTTAAATTAAACAACTAATTAAACCCTTTAAATTAAACAACTAATTAAACCCTTTAAATTTTATTAAATGAAAGTAGAATATATACTTCTCAAAATTCTTGAAATAAACTTCGTGTTTTTGACTAAAATCGTCGATTTAGGACTTAAAATGTCGGTCAACTAGCTTAGTGTCTGTTTTTAGGCAGAGCTAGTTGTGGACAGACAGTGTAAGTTTAGTGTGACGTACGTTTTGAACCATAAACTGTTTCCATACACTTGGTACTCGGTTTATTCTTGTTTTTCATGGGACCGACGCCCTGTAAGAAAAGCCTAAGGCTCCATGGAAATTAGCACGTTAGCACTTTGGACAATTGCGCATCGGTTGATTTTCTATGTTTAAAATGACGCCACAATTACAATATGGCGGCGATGACGTCATGGTCGGCTCCTAGTACATATAGTACGCAACACTTTTCAGTATTTTCTCAGATAATTCAGCACAGAAGGTCTAACAGCTATGAACATAATTCTACATCTCACCCTGGAAATCCAATGTATTAGGAAACAATTTACAATTTTCAATTAGTACTTCTAAACTTGCACGTATTGATCGAATTATTTTTCTCGCGATCTTCTTTGATGATATCAGAATTTAATTTCGAGAAAAATTAAACCCAACCTGTTTAAGATTGGCTTCTTAGCGGCAAGAAAATGCATATTTCTCACACGTGCATGTGTAGTAATAACTGTACGGGATCCCACGCACTAAGTTCCACGGTAGGGGCAATGTCCAGTGTATACCTAGTTAGACTATAAACACGGATGAAACACGAAAACACGTGTATCTGATTAGCGCCCACTCCAGGGGGGCGGGAACAGATGTGGACACGGTGTTCGTACTGTTAAACACATGCGTTGATTAAAACTTCAGTTTTAGGACCATAGTCCAAGGGTGGTATGAAATTAAAAATTCAAATTGATTTTTATCGGATTCATTTTAATAATAATTGACGTTTTTACTTATTCGTGTCAACGGTCACGGTTTGGTTTGATCAAACATTATGTGTAGGATAAAGCATGAGACTGAGGTTATGCTGGGGAAAGAAAGACTGAAGAAAATAACCCGAGGAAAACAAAAACCCAGGTTGACAGTTTTTTTTTAAAGTCTTTCTTCCCCGGCATAACCGAAGTCGAGGACTTTATCTTGCTTATAAACTGGCTATGTTTACATGTATGTAAAATGAGAATATCCCAGAAAAAACCTTATATCATGTTTTCTTATGGAAAAAAAAACCTACTCTGGAAGAATAACCCGTTACAGATTTAAAGAAAAACTTTCAGAAGAATAACCCCAAATTCTCCTAAAGAAATTCAAAGCGGTCCCCCACTTTCAGACCGCAAGTTATTCCGGCCATAGATCAAAGAGATTTTTTGTTAAAGGTTTATAAAACAGAATAAGGTAGATCTTAGTCTTTATCAGCGAATAAGTTTCCACCGTATAAGCTAATAGCGAGTCTGACGACCAATATTCCTTGAAGATTTGATATAGGGTTGTTTGTTGTCTTACGAAATCTAAATGAAATGGAAAGAGTTTTAAAATATAAGTTTTCATTGCATCAGTTTATAAAATATATTATGGAAACAGTCCCCGGGAACCAATTGAAGATTTGATAGGTTTTTTTTTAGGGTTTTAAAATGTATTTTACCAAACAGTTTATTATTATCTTCCGGTCTATTATCTTCGTCTCTCCCATACTAAACTTAGGCTATCTATCTATAATTAGCCTCGCTTGAGAATAGACCCTAAGCTAATTGACCGACATTTTAATTCCTAAGTCGACGGTTTTTGTCGAAAACACTAAGTATACTTCATGAATTTTGAGACGTATATACTCTGCTTTCATTTAAGAAAATTGAAAAGGTTTAATTTGTCTTTTGGTGTATAACAGATGTGAACCGGAGTAGGACCGCAGTACACTAATTGTTGAATATGGCGGCTATTTACGGCAGAGATCTATTCTCAAAGAAGAGTAGATAGTTCTCTATGTGAAGAATGCTTCTCTCTTTCTTCTGAACCGTTTATTTCCTGGATAAAAAATGGTGCTATTGCTATTGGGGTAGGGCTGTGATTTGCATATCACAGGGTCCAAGTATCAGTTCCCTATAAAATATGCCGTAATGTGTGTTGCGTAAAATGTATTAATTGTAACGTGACTCACCGTCCTCGCACCAGCGGCGTAATCTGAATGAATTCAGAATAAAAGATCTTATTATAACGCGGCTCACTAGTCAAGGTAAGAGATCAGGTTTAGTCTATATCTGCTCGATCCGTGTATCAACTGTTTTTATGGATCTGGTAGTCGTTGAGATGGTATAGGTTTAGAGTAGGTATAAGTAGAAATATAGCTACATTAGATAGAGAAAATATTCACCCGTCCCTAAGGTATGCTATAAAGTGGCTGCTGGAAACTATAACATATAGGAATTTACTCGTATAAATACAAATAATATTACTTGTGGATTGTTGGTTTACATTCTGTTATTTTCCTATCGTGAGTGGTGGACAAACGGTGGTCCGACTAAACTGAAAGTAGAGGCGGGGGTCGTGCCAAAGAAATACGTATGCTTACTCTTTCCGTTTCTTTAGATGAGAGTAATCTAGGTTTTGTTACATATATAATACAAGGGGGTAGGGGTGTTAATACTAAAGGGGTGGGGGTGTTAATACAAAAGGTTTACTATTATCTGGGCACTAGCATTTCCGAATATCATGTCAGAGGTTCTCTTTTAAGGGTACGACAAAATTTACACGGTTGAACTGTTTTTCCACGTGAATGACTGGGCTCCCAAGCGCTAATCATCTTGTTGCTGTTGTCGGTGCTGTTGCCGTTGTGGTTGCTGCTGCTGCTGCTGTTGTTGCTCTTGCTCTTGCTGCTGTTGTTGTTGTTGTTGCTGTTGTTGCTGTTGTTGTTCCTCGTACCAGATCATGTACGATCGACAAGAAACTTGTCATGCCTGGTCTTTGAATAATTGCTCATCGATTGACGGGATTTGACGTCACAATTAAAAGATGATGAGATGATTAGTTTCTGGTGCCATCCATTTCGAGATAGGTTCTGTCAAACCTACAAGTTATTGTGTACTTGTGTATGTAATGCCCTGGCTGTGTTGAGTGTGTTCATGTTGCATAACAACTCGTATCGTGTTTTAGTAAAAGGTTTAACTTGGGAAGGGTGTATACCTCACGTTCTCTTATCTCTACTCCCTTCTGTTCTTGTGGACAGTTTGTTTTTAAACAAACAATATTTTATTCATAAATTGAAAGGGATTAAGGAACATGTGACCCCTCTCGTTTTACTTATCATTACTACTCTCTCTCTCTCTCCCACTTAATTATGAGACATCTCTCTCTCTCTCTCTCTCTCTTCGTGTTGAGTACTTCTTTATTACTAGTTAGTGACAAGCGACGTTACCCCCTCCCCCCCCCCCTCTCTCTCTCTCTCTCTCTCTCTGTCTGTCTGTGAGTGTATTGAGTACATGTATATTATATAATATATGTTTAGATCAGGTTAATGTACTGTTTTTATACCAAGGTTCTATATTATCGAATGATTAGGAGATAAAACAGTAGGACACTGGACTAACACGGGGCCTATCTACAAGGCTACAAGCGATTCTCACGATCTAGACTGCTACATACATAATTTTAAGAAGATAGATTTTATAAATTTGTCTTCGTTAATTATATTCCATTAACATCAAAGCGCTTTAAAATTTGGTTCGGTTACACTATCTTCAAAAATGTCTATTTCGATTAAGTTTTCGCTACCTCCTGAAGAGACATATGTTGTGAGTACAGCGCTAAAGAACATTAGCGCCGTTAAAAACTAAATTTTTTTCCTACCCTATGCTTAGTGGGTCCTTTCATCACGGCTGAAATCCACGCTTCCTACGGCGATTACGTATTCTAATTTATTTTCTGATAATGTCCACAAATTCTTTCTTTTAAGATGTACATATATCTTGCAGTAAGTACATACCAGGATTTCAGATATGGACGTTTTTTTTTTATTTTTATTCATTTTTTCAAAAAAATAAATTAGATTACATTATATATAGTTTTATGTTTCATGCAGTTTGATAATATTTCAGGGCTTTTCAAAATATTTTGTAATTAAGTTTGATGTTAGATTTATTTGAGAACTTTGATTAAATATTAGCAGGGTTTTAATAGAATAACAGTTTAATCAGAAAGTTTGTGTTATATATTAAACTGTATATATACCATATATAATTAAATTAAATAGAACGGGGTTTAACGTCCTAGTTTCTGCACCCACCGGGCTAATGAAGACGAGTATATAAGCCTTTCAATGTGTCATGAGGGAAATTTTGCCCAGGCAGTGGCCCATCGAGCAAATAGAACGGGATTTAGCGTCCTATTGTCTGCACCGACCGGGATAATGAAGACGAGTATACATGTCATGAAGAGAATTTTGCCCGGGCAGTGGCCCATCGACGTACACTTATTTCGATTTCCAACTGTCATAGACATCGTTTTTTCGTTCCTTTCGAGGGATTACACGCGATTCATTGCCACTTACTCCGTCCTACACCACTTAAGGTCGAAATTACGCCCGAAAATATGAAGAAACTTTCTCGGGCAACCTTCTGAGACACCGGGGTAATATAGCAGTAAGCTTATTATATATGGAATGAAATGAAAAGGGGTTTAACATCCTAGCAATGCTCTAAGA